TTGCCTGCTGGTTGCTGCCTAGACTGTCCTGCCCAACCTTGCCTCCCTAACCCATTGACCCAGTCCCTTGGATTCGATCTTCCAGTTACTGACCCTTTTGAGAACTCTAACCATTGCCCGGGACTGCCTCTGATACCAGTTGACCTCCTGGCTACCCAACAACCCGTGCACACTTGACTACTGCCCTGGACTACCTCCTAGCTCACCTCAGCCACTGGGCATTACACACCAGCACAAAGCAGCTCAGGTACCACTGGATTACATTTTGATTCACTAAATTATATAAGAATTATTATATGGGAGTTGTGCTTCCTTATCTTGTGCCAATTACTTTTTGCCCAGTTCAAATGCTAGAGGGCTTGTTGCCCAACTTCTGCGTTTAGATGTTTCTCTTCACTTTTCAGCACAATGGATATGAATCATGCTTTTGCCCATGTAAAGCTGCATTCTGCCTTACTGTCTTTCAGCATAAGACTTTGGGTCAGTTTCTGAACAATGTGACCTTTGAGTAATGATTCAAGTCTATTGGCCCTACTAATACATTCTGTGTGGAGCTCTAAGAACTGTTTGTTTTTTTGGCTTTTATGTAAAGAAATCAAAACTTAAGCAGACATTCGAAAAAATTGGTGCATTCATTACTAGTTCTAATCTCTGCTGAGTCACTGACTTCCTCTTCTGCCATGAGCAAGTAATTTGATCCCTTTGTCCTTCTACAATCTACTTTAGAAATTGGGTAATAAGTTAAACTTTACTGAGAATGAAAGGGTGAGTTTGAATGGAATTATCCTCAGAAAATAAATTACAAAACAAGTTGATTAGTGAGGAATTTTAAGATGTCAACACTTGTAGGAGCAGTTGTGTTCTAAGTAAGCTAATGAATACAGACGCTGCATGACTCACGTTATCAAATACTTAGTCATTGTAACAAGGCACAAAAAGCTGGATAACTTATGGTATGAAGAATCTGCTGCGTCAGTGACAGTTCAGGGTTTAAGGCTCCAGAGAGCATCAACTGATTTCTAAAGCTAAATTCTGATGTGCTAAATTCTTCAAGGGTCTTTGCACCTTTTTCAGACATGCCTCATGTTCTCTCTCTGCAAAACATTCAAGTGACTGAGCTTTATTGGTGGAAAGCACATTTCAAAGTCACTTGCACAAGAATTCCCAGACATCTAATTTTAAATCCACACAAGTCAGGCCAGCAGCACTTGTACACCCATTCAGTCAGGAAATAGAACCAGTACTATAGTTCTTATCTGAACAATGGCAGTACAGCTTGAATTTCAAATAGCTACCAATCCATAGAGTAAAAAAAGCATTATATAATGAAAAAAAATGTAAGCAACTCCCAATGTGCTTGCAGATATTTCCATAGAAAGAGGCTAAATTATTTTAATAAACTATTTGTTGTGAATTCATTTCTCTAGTTGCTATCTGTGCTGTTCAACAGTTGCTATCTGTATCTGTTTGTCTGTTTCAAGGCTAGCAGGGACCACTGTGATTATCTAGTCCAACCTCCTGTTTGACACAGGCCATAGAATTACTGGGTGAAATTCCTGCATCAAATCCAATAACTTACTGATGAACTAGAGAGATGTCAAATCTTGATTTAAAGACTTCTTGTGATGATTTTCATTGAAATAATCAAAAGTCAAGACTTCAACCATCTTTACCACATATCTCTTTTGATAAATTTAAAGAGCTTGACCTTAAGTTTCTCACTAAAGCAGGTTTTCCAGACATCATGTTGTGGCTCTTTCTGAACACTCCAGTGTCTCCACATCCTTTTAAAACTGTGGTTACTAAAGCAGGACACAGCATTTCAGTAGTAGTGTCACCAGTACCTTACACAGAGGCGATATCACCTTCCTACTTTACTCAATACTCCTCATGTGGAAGGATCACATTGGCCCTCTGAGACACAGCATCACAGTAAAAGCTCATGTTCAGTTGATTATCACTGTGAACCCAAGGTCCTTTCCAGGATACCATCCCCAAGTCTGACATGTATTTCTTACTAAAAGTATGACCTTACATTTGGCTGTTCGATGTTGGTTGGTTGCACCCATCTTACAGAGTGATCTGGATCACTCTGTATAACTGACCTGTCCTCATTGATACTTAACAATTCACTGATCTTTGTATCATCTGCCATCTATATTAGTAATGACTCTATATGTTCTTACAGATCATTGATAATGAAAGGAGATGGAGAAAGGGAGCCAAGTTAGGCACTTGCTCTAAACTAGCAGGCTAGATCTCCCCACAGGAGTGCGCTCCTGCTTCTTCTAAGATGGTGGAAGGCCCAATTGCTCCCAGGAGTGTCCTGTGCAACCATATGGCTTGCAAGTGCCCATCAGCTCATGTGATCTGGGCACAACAATGATTACTTTGTTAACTGAATGTCCATTAAAGGCCCTGTAGTTGCAAAGCACTCCAGATTCTCCCACACCCAAAGCACAGGGAAGAGCAATGATCAGATTACTCAGAGACTGGCCACCACGTCTGTATATTTCATAGAACAAAATGTCCTTCCTCACCTCTGACACCCTCTCCTCACACTACTCCCAAGTCCCTGAAGGTTCTAAACCTCTCTTCAAACCCCTCACTTCCCCAGTTCCTGGTGGCTCTGCCCCTCTTTTAATCCTTCCCACCCTCTCACCCTGATGTTTCTTCCCATGTATGTAGGTAGTTGGCAAAAAGACATGCTACCACTATCTACTACTCCCCTGGGGAGTTAGTGGTTTTCTTCCTGAGGCTGAATTTCTTTGATGCTCCTGCTTCAGAGGTTGCCACAGGAGCTGGGGGTGAAGGATAGAGGAAGTCAGTTGGGCAGTTAAGCAACTTCCAAGGACATTCCTGGCTCCCCAGCTGTAGTGAGAGCTTCCTGCAGTTCAAGTGGGGGGACTGGTGGCTCTCACTTCCTTTTCTGGTCCTGTTTCCCCCTTTTGTACACCCTGCAACTTCTCTACAGGCCAATTAGAGGCACAGGAGTGGAGCAGCCTTCAGAATTGGATTCTTCCCCATGGAGCAGCAGCAGCTCCTGCAGCATCCTGGATTAGCTCCAGTCCCTGCTGGATTAGGATTTTCATTCATGAATGTAGTGAAGCATACCAGAGAATTTACTCACAAGCCCTTTTTTGGGGGGGGGGGAGGGGGCGGTGCCTAGTTTTTGACCGGAAAGTCTGGGGACCTGACAGAGTCCGGTCAGATCTATGGACCGGACACCCAAAGCCTGGTTACTGGGTGTGGGGGAGGCGCTGGGTCATCACCGGAGCATGGGTTTGTGTCCCTGACCATCTTGGCTAATAGCCATTGATGTACCTTTTTTTTTTTTTTAAACCCAGTTACTTTTGGCCCCCACAACAGCCCCTGGCAAATTCCACAGGTTGACTGTGCATTGTGAGAGTACTTCCTTATGTTTGTTTTAAACCTACTGCCTATTAATTTCTTTGGGTGACCTCTGGTTCTTGTGTTATGTGAAGGGGTAAATAACATTTCCTTCCTCACTTTCTCCACAACATTCATGATTTTATAGACCTCCGTCATCTCTTTTCTAAGTTGAACAGTCCCAGTCTTTCTAAGCTCTCCTATGGAAGCTGTTCCATATCCATAATAATTTTGTTGCCCTTCTCTGTACTTTTTCCAATTCTAATATATCTTTTTTGAGATGGGACAACCAGAACTGCATGCAGTGTTCAAGATGTGAGTGTACCATAGATTTATATAGTGGTATTATGCTATTGTCAGCCTGATTATCTATCCTTTTCCTAATGGCGTTAGCTTTTTCGACTGATGCTGCACATTGAACAGATGTTTTCAGAGAACAATCCATGATCTTTATGAGTAGTATCAGCTAATTTAGACCCATCATTGTATGTATAACAAGTTTGCTATTGTGAGACATGGCCAGTCAAGTATGATTGAGCATAAACTGTAAGCAGCTTCTACATTACAGAAGCACACATGGCATGAAGGAACAGCTTCTAGCACTTCACATAGAATCCAGTTGTTGTTTTTTCTTAATCCAGGACTGAATCGGTATGGGCATATATGATGAGTTCTCCCCTCCCCCACTCATGAGTTGGCCCCCCAAAAGTCATGGAAGTAGTCCCTATAACAGGGTTTACTCACCATTGGGCTGCCTCCTTTCATTCATTGCTCACCCACAGACACCCTCGCTTTCCAATACTCACAGTGCTCCCTCTCTGTCACTCAGCCCTCTGACCAAATTGCTGTATAGTCCTCATCTTCCGGGTCATCAAAGCCCACTGGATCAGCTGTCCTCACACCGTTCCAGACAGTCTTCTGGTCCAAGACCAGGTCTTGCACCACTTTGCTAGTAGCTGATAGAGGAACCCCACTACTGCCTGCCCACTACTCTGGGTTTCAGCCCAGGGATCCCATAGCCAACAACTACAGTCTGTTTGGTCCCAGCCCCGGTTGCTATTTCCCTGGACTTTTTTCTTTTTCTGTCCCTGTCATCTGGCCTTCCATGCTGGATTTACTGCCCAAACTCCCAACGAGTAACTGTAGACTACTTCCCCTTCTGGCTTCAGCTTCCTCCCTTTATACAGGCCTAATCTGCTCCTTCCCAGCTGAACTTCATCTTCCATTAGGGTTTATTGATCCCTGGCTCTCCTCTAAGTGACTATAAGGTCAAATGACCTGATTTAAACTACTCTGCCTTGTGTAGGGAGTACACCCCATCACAGAGCCAAAAATCATAAGTGTTTTTAGAGAGAGATTATATCATGGTTTTTGTCTGTTTTGATTTTCGCACTCCCCCCTAACCCAATGTTCCCAAATTAAGATAATTTTGGCCCCCACTACAGGAGCTCTCATGTCTACATCTGCCTGTCCCCCTGCCCAGCAACTAATTCTGCCCCTCAAACTCCCCATCAATTCTACTCCCACATTTGCCCAGCCTCCCCTCTGCAGAAGAGAATGTTGTGGTGCATCTGGCACATTCATGTTCATAACTGGGGCTTCCCACGTACCTGTCAACAGCACCTTCTCAGCTGGAGCTCTTGTCTTTCTGTTCATTAATGCTCCAGTGGAGCCCATCACCAGGGAAAATGACCTACATAGAAACAAACAGGTGATGGTAGCAACATGATCTATTTTTAAGTTAGAGTAGGCCAAGCAATTGATATACTTTAAGGACAGGATTATAAAGGGTTAAGTGAGTCATTGAATTGTTTATCATAAAATTGCTGTGTTAGACACAGGTGGTGACTAAAAGGCTATTCTGTCATTGTTTTAAATAGAAGGAAGTTAGCTTTCCAAAAAAGCTTAAAACATCATAAGTAATGAATAAACCTAACATAACTCAGGTGGTTCCCCTTCATGTTGTCATTAGCACAAAGAATTCCCACTGAATGAAGTGAGGAGCACAGAGAAAAATACATTTAAAAAGAATGTCCACACGTGAAAGAGTTGGCCCAGTTTATAAATATTAGCATATTCATTAAAGAAGAAGAAAGTTGCAACTTTAAGGGCCCCAAATTGCTCCAACTGCATTCAGTGGAAGTCTTAACCTTTGACTTCAATGAGAGCAGGAACTGGATAAACCTGAGAAGACCTTCAAACAAAGGAGTAATTTACTATCTGCTGATAACCTTTAGCTTCTTATCTTTCTCATGCTGAGTCATGATTTTGGCTTACCTTTTTCAGAGAAAGAAGGCCTCAGCACCATATGTTTATTTGCTGTTTAATGGGACCATTATCCCAGAAATTATTAGGATAGCTTCTCCAAAGCTTCTGAGGCTGTAAGAGAGGAGAAAAAGAAATATTTTTCTTGAGAAACTATGGCATAAAGGTTTCGGATTTAAAAGAAGTCCACCCTGGCTTCATGGGAGGAAGGTAAGATGGAGTTAGATCAATTGTGACAACAAATTTTTGGTCTTATGCCATGGCTGTGCACAATTCCTATTCCTCCTTCATAGCTTGTGTGGTGGTGTATGTGCTGGTTAATCGAAGCTGTCTGCACTCAATTAGAGAGTAGAGCCTCTCTTGCTGTGAGAAATGTTCATGCTACTCGCATTTTCCATAACCAGGGGGTCTTATTGGAGCCTTGGCTGCACCTGGATGCTAACGTAACAGCTGTGGCCATCTGCACGTAGTGGGAAGAGTGTGTGCACTTTTTAAAAATGTGGACCTTGCTATAATTATCTCTGCCCTTGGCAGCTTGACCCTAGACATCTGTAACAGATTGTACATGGAACTACACCCACGCAGAAGCTGAAGCTAGAGTAGACTGCTGCAGCCTACTCCTAAAGGCCTGGTCTACACTACAAAGTTAGGTTGATGCAAGGTATCTTACGTCGACTTAGTTGTGCATGTGTCTGCACTTAAATTGGTCTCCCACAGCTGTAGTTTACCATTATGCCAACACAGTAACACCACCTCCCCGAGCAGTGTAGAGCCACAGTTAGACTTAGGTCGATGCAGTGCATGTGTAGATTCTGCACTACTTATGTCGACCCTACCTGTCCTCCAGTAGCTGTCCCACAATGCCCCACACTGACCGCTCCAGGCACCATTGTGAATCCCCCTCCTCCAGGATCCCAGAAAGTAGAAGCCTCCCCCTTAAAGCCCTGTGAATTTTTGAAATTCCTTTTCCTGATTGCCCAGTTTGGCGAGCAAACCTAGCAGCTCTTCTGTGACCAGGGGTCCTAGTGGGGAGCCAGCTGTGGTCACTCAATTAGGGTGAACTGCAAAGAATGGGGCAATCAATCCCCATAAAGCTGGTGGATATTCCAATACTTAGATTCACCAAAACAGCATAAAACAGCTTCTTTATTAACTTACTGGTCACTCAGAAGTCCAAACAACACAGTTCCCTTAAAGTGATCCAGCCTCAGGCCTCCATCCAGGTACCCACGGCAAATATGATGGAAATTTCTGAAAACCTTATTTCATCATATAAAAGAAAAGGTTCTACCAATCCCAAAGGATCGGACACATGACCTCCCAGGTTATTGAATATTCCAGATCATACCCAAATACCTGCTACAGCCAATTCTTATTAACTAAACTAAAATTTATTAAAAAACAAAAGAGAGAGAGTATGGTTAAAAGATCAGTATACATACAAACATGAATTCAATTCACTGAGGTTCAGATTCACAACAGAGATGGTGAGCTTTGGAGTTGCAAAGAGTTCCTTTAGAATTCAGTTCATAGGTCATAGTCCAATGTCCAGATCTCATAATCAGGGCATACCAGCATAACTGGGACCTCAGTCTTGCAACTCAAACTTCCCCTGACGAAGTCTAAGCAGATCTGAGATGACAGAATCAGGACCCAAGGATCTTTTATACAGTTTC